TAAATCAGATTGAAGTGTATAAGATATTCAGTACCTTTGATTTTTACTAGTTCTGTTTTACAAATTTCCTCAGATATTTATAGGTTCATCAGAAATGAATGATCTGAGAAGCAGTTTATTCACACTGTATCTTTGGAGTTAAAATCCTTGTACCAAAATCTTTCTAGGGCTGGGGATGTAGTTCAGTGGTAGAGCAAGGCCCTGGGATCAATCCCTAGAATGGTGGGGGAGGCAGGAAGGTAGAATTTTTTGATGGTACTGGAATTTGAACTCAGGGCCTCATGCTTACTGGATGGGAGCTCTACCACTTGACACACCCTGACCTGTTACAATTTTAGTTTGCATTTAAATACAGTAATTCAAAATTTTGTTCCTACTTTTCCTGGTTTTGAATGTTGGTGAAATGGGCAGTGTCCACAGAATGCAATTGATTTTGTTTTAGTTGTCATACATTTCAGTTGATCTCTGAGAAGTTTTAGCTTATCATTACTTCTGGCTCTTGCACTTAAGTGGCAATATTTGAAGAAAAAAATTTTTTTTCTTTTTTTCTTTTTTTTTTGTGGTGCTAGGAATTGAATACAGTGCTTGGAACATGTTAACCTAGTGCTTCATACATCCCCAGCCCAAGAAAATTTTAAGCCCTAGGTAGGTCATAATTTTTTTATATTAGTAAATACTAATTAGAGTGATCAGTCCACTGCTTTTTTTAAAGTCTGTTTTTATTTTACATTTATGTATACATTTAAGCTGAAATGAAATTCCACCATACAAAAGCAGTCTTTTTTTGTTTATTTGGTAGTGGTGGTTCTGGAGATTATACCTACCAGCACTCTAGCACTTGAGCTACGCCCCAGCCCTAAAGCCAGCCATATTAAAGCCAACAATTCTGTGGCATTCAACACATTCACAATTTATTCCCAAAACATTTTCATTACCCAAAGAAAACTCAAGCCACCAGTGACTCCTCTTCTCCCACCCCTGGCAGCAAACAACATGCTTTCTGTCTCTGTGGATTTACCTGTTCAGTACATTTCACAGACATAATGCTTTTCCATGTTTTCATTCATTCTGTAGCATATATCAGTATAATCTGTTCTTTTTATTGTTGATTAATATTGCATTGTATATACTACAGCTGGTGTATGAGTTCATCTACTGATGAACATTTGAGTTGTCTCCAAATTTGGCAAGTGTGAAAAGTGCTGCTGTTAACCCTTGTGTACAAACATTCAACCACTGGAGTACATGCTTTCAATTCATTGAGTACATAACCAAGTTGGAGTTGGTCATATGGTGATTGTATGCTTTGCTTTTTGTGTGATCGCCAAGCTTTTCCACAGAACCATATTTCTTTATTTTTTTCTTCAATTTTATCATGAATTTGTCAAGAGGCAAATCATTTTACTTTCCCACCAGCAATGTTTGAGCGTCACCCTTGATTTTTCATGTGTATACATTGGTCCCTTTCCTCCTCCCTTCTTCCAGGAAAGCCGGTCCCTACAGACCCCTTTTCCCCAGGGTAGACCTGGAGAAGCTGCACCTTTAGGAGCAGGACTCTTATCAGCTACAGCCTCCATCCAGCTTTGCCTTTTCCAGAACAGAGCAGCATGAGCAGGAGAGAGGTCAGGCTGCCATCTCCCTATGGTCATAAGACACACCCATCACAGCCATTCCTGCGGGCCCTCCAATACCTTCATCCTCACCCTGGCCCCATTAAGCAAAACTAGGGCAGCAGGAAGCAACTCTGCTGGAGGCTTCAGGTCTACTTACCTGCAGTAGAACTCTCAGTCTCAGCTGAGGAATTCTCCCACCTCCCAATACTTTTTTACTCATTTCTTCATCATCAGAATCCTTTCAGTTATTTTAAGCATTTACCCACTCTCAAACAAATCACAGTGCATAAATGATGAAAGAATATTGTCATACATCCTTAATAAAATGGAATGGTCCAGATTCTGGTCACAAAATACTATGTGATGAAGTCTTCTCTGTTTAATGACTAAGTTGATAAAAATACCCTAATACTCCTTTTGCCTTTAGAAATATGTTGTTCTTCTGTTACTTGTTCTGTATGTAGGGCATCATCATCTAAAGACTCACAGTCTGGGACTTCACTTAAAGGATTCAGCTTCACCATTGTCATTAAAATTTAGAGTACTGCCCTCTTTCTTCTTCTGATTTGTTTTTCAGTTGTGAAACACCTTTCTCTGTCAATTGTCTCTCAGTTTTCTTCTCTTTACTATTATAGGGAGAAAATAAGAAATTTTTAATCTTCATCTGTGTTAATGATAGGTAAAATCCAAAGATGGGAGTCTGCATTCTTATTTTGCACTTTCTTGAAAGATGATGTAATGCTTTAGGCAACATAATAAGAAAGTAGAAGGATGCATTTTGTATCATTCTTCCAAATTTTTGCTACCGTTTTTTTCCCCCTTACTAGGGATTGAACCCAGGGCTTCATGTGTGAATACCAGCTAGACAAATGCTATAGCACTTAAGCCAGGACCCCAACCATTTTGTTTATATTTTGTTTTCGCAATAGGGTGTCAGCTAACTTTTTTGAGCTGGCCTCTAAATGGTAACTCTTTCTCCCAAGTAGCTGGGATTACAGAACTCTGACAACATACTTGGATTATTTTAGTCTTTTTTTTTTTGAAGCTCAATTTGGAATAATTGTTGAGTAGTGGTGAAGTAATTAGTAGGATGATGAAATAGCAAAACAAGAGACCACTAAAATGCTATAATAGATCTTGAATTTATAAAGGGGCCTAGTAGAGCCAAATGACAATTGCTAGGTAGAAAAAAGTTAATTTTTTACAGTGTCTTCTCTGGACTTTGGAAGGCCCATAACGTGGACTAAAAAACATGAAGTACCAATCATTAAATACTTAGGACTACTCAAAAAAGAAACTCAGAACCTAAACTGGGTCCACTGGATTTTTTTGGTATACTGAGTGTAAAGAATTCCATGGATCTTTATTGTAGTATGCATGCAACACCTATTTATCATCTATTTTGTTGGAGACTGCATTTACAGTATTTTATTCTTACTTGTCTTAGTCAAAAGGCAGAGAAGTGATGTGTACTTACAGTGTTTTCTTTCTTTTTGGCAGTGGTTCTGGGGTTTGAACTCAGAGCCTTTTGCTTGCTAGTCAGGCACTCTACCACTTGAGTGACACTCCAACCCTATTTGCTTTAGCTATTTTTGTTGAGGCTATGTTGGACCATCATTCTATTTATGCTTCCCACACAGCTGAGATAGCAGGCATATACTACCAGGCCCTGCTATTAGTTGAGATGGAGTCTCAAAAACCAACTATTTGTTCAGACTGGCCTTGAACTGCAATTCTTCCAGATCTTTGCCTCCCATGTATCTGGGATTATAGGCATGAGCCAAGGACACCCATCTAGTTTTCTTACTTTTTTAATATCAAGAGTAAAAAATAATTGAACATGAGTCTTAAGTTTAATTTTATTCTGATCCACATTTATTTTAAAAACTCTTAATTTTTTTGTGGACATCAAATGCTTTAAGATATGTTTGGCTTAATTTTATTTTGCATTTTTATTTTATTTTTTAGTAGTACTGGGGTTTGCGCTCAGGGCTTTATGCTTGCCACTTGAGCCACTCCATCAGCCCAGGAGTTACTTACATAGGGGGAAGTTAGATATATTTTCAAATTTTGTATCTAGGAGTAAATTGCCAATAGATTATGTAAATAAAAACTGGATTATAGCTGGGCACCAGTGGCTCACATATGTAATCCTAGCTACTCAGGAGGCAGAGATCAGGGGGACTGCGGTTCGAAGCCAGCCCAGGCATACAGTTCCATAAGACCTATCTCAAAAAAATCGTTCATAAAAAAAGAGCTGGTGGAGTGGCTCAAGGTATAGGCCCTGAGTTAAAGCCCCAGTACTGCAAAAAAGAAAAGAAAAAAACTGGACTGTATGCAACACCACAATATAGTCCTTATTTTGCCTTTATGGGGAGTATTATTTAATTCTGATTCACTGATGTAAGCTACCTCAGCTTAGTTCCTTTAACAAATGGATTAAAAAAATTTTTATCCATTGAAATCTTTGAGGTTTATATTATTTACTTTATTTTTTTTTTTGAGCCTGTTGTTTGAACTCAGAGCCTCATGCTTGCTACGTAGGCACTCTACCACCAGCTCTCTTTTTTCTGTGTGTGCTGTTTTTTTTTTTTTGAGGTAAGATCTCACAAACTATTTGCCTGGGCTGACTTCGAACTGGGAACCTCCAGATCTCCGCTTCCCAAGTAGCTAGGATTACAGGTGTGAGCCACCAGCACCTGGCTCACATTTGTTTATAGCTAAGTAACTTGGTTCACTGTAATGGTTATATTAGGAAACATTCTCTTATATAGGAAGCCCAAAACTTAGTGTAAAAAAAGTTAGAATTCAGTGCTTTGGGGAAAAATACTGATGTTGCATTATGTGAGAAAAGTAGTTTGTAGTGTAGGTTGTAAAGAATATTCTGAATCTATATTTAGATATGTTTGCACAGGTAAAAAAGACTGAACAATTTATATGCTATAATGTTAATAGGAATAACCACAGAATAGCTGATTTGCATGCTTTTTAGGTACTTGTTTTGGTAGTTAGAATTTTCTAAAATTTTAAGTTGTTTTAAAAATTAAAAATATTTAAATAAACTTTAGAAAACAGTTGCCTGTCATGAATAGTGGGTTGATAATTCCTTGCAACAGTACCCTCACGTAACAGTTGACAAAGAGTGACTTACTATAATCCTGTGGCATATATTGAGTTTTGTGTGGGCAGTGACATGGTGAGAAGAAAAACACCTGATGCTTCTATAAAGTCTGTCATTAGCCCAGGAACATAGCTGTATAAAAGGCATTCTTCTCATTGGCCATTGAAGCCCATGGCATTTTGTGTTAAAACATGTACTAAAAATTTCCTCTGTAGTTTTAGTTAAATATTTATGTTTATTCTCAAAATACATTCTTTCATTTTTAGGCATTATCCAATTGGTTTGCTGTTTGATCTTCTTGCGTCAAGTTCACCTCTTCCTTGGAGCATCACAGTACATTTTAAGGTACAGTTTAATGGAATTTCCCATTTGTCCCACTGTGGCTCTCAATAAATAAAGTAGAATTTTTGGGGTCTTTTTTTTTTTCTTTTTTGTTAGAACTGGGGTTTAAACTCAGGGCTGTGTGCTTTCAAAGCAGACACTCTACCACTTGAGCCACTCCTCCAGTTCCAGAATTTGTTTTTAGAGAGTGTGGTTATTTACTGCTTTTCCCATAACACCCTTCCAGTTCCTAAGCTTCCACTAGTGCTTGTTTATGAAACCTTTTTTCTGTTTTTTCCTAACTTTTGGCAAACCTTTAAAATTTTTAATGTATAAGCATGTTTGCTGTAACTGAATCTACTGTGTTTAAAATTTATAATAGCTTATATAGTTTTCAAATTTTATTTTGTTCAGTTTATTTTTTTTTAGTGGTACTGGGCTTTGAACTCAGGGCCTCACACTTGCTAGGCAGGTGTTCTACCACTTGAGCCACTCTGCCAGCCCTCAAATTTTACTTAATTAAAAAAGAAACAAGCCTAGCATGCTGTCATACACCTATAATTTCAGCACACAAGAGATGGAGGCAGGAAGATCTTGAGTTACATTGTCTCCTGGTCTACATAGGAAGTTTGAAAGAAAGCCCCTTTGTTGAGTAAGAATTTGGACTTGTAGTTTTAAAAATCTCACAATGTATAACTCCTTGCATTTGCAGTTTGTTGGTGAATTCTGTAGAACAAACCTTTTTCCTGAGAAGAGAAGAGGAAGAAATACTTCTTATCCTGTCTTAGAGGCTGGATTAAATCTCAACACTAATTCTATTAAAGAATTAAGTATGTTGTGGACCAGTATCCCCATGAATGCAGATGCAGAAGTCTTCAACAAAATACTAGCAATTGACCCAGCAATACATAAAAAAGCCCAGTACCAACTATGACTTGAGTTCATCCCAAGAATACAAGATTGATTCAACACTCAAATATTGATGAAATTCAGTACATTGACAGAAAAAAGCAGAAAAATAGGACAAAATCAATAGACTCAGGAAAAAATATTGATAGAATTCAGTATTTGTTTATCGTCAAAACTCAACAAACTTAGGAATAAAAGAGAATCTCCTCAACATGACAAAGAGTTTACATGAAAAGATTGTAGGTGAAATCATCCTAAATGGTGGCATATTTATGCTTTACCCTAAGATTAAAAAAAGGCAAGATGACCAGCTGTACTGCTTATATAAGCATTTCTGCTAGAATGCAACATACTTTTCTTTAAAATTTACTGTGCTCTTAAAAGGCATGCGATAAAAGACATAGGACTTACAGGGGACAGGATTAGGTGTACAAAATCCAAAAACATTTGGTGATAGAACCTCAACAAGGTGTGGTGGCTTGTGCCTGTAATCCTAGCTACTCAGGAGACAGAGATAAGGATGACTGCAGTTTGAGGCCAGTCCTTGCAAAAAAATTAGTGAGACCCCATCTCAACCAGTAAGCCAGGTGGGGTTGTGGTCAAATGTGCCTGTCCTCCCATTTACAGGGAGGCCATGGATAGGAGGATCATTGTCTACAGCTGGCCATGAGCAAAAAGTGAGACCTTATTTGAAAAATAACCTTTTTTTTTTTTTTTTAAAGGGCTGGAGGCCTGGCTCAAAGAGTAGAGCACCTGCCTGTAAAGATCAGTTAGAGATAAATCAACTTGGGTTGTAACACATTTGTACATGGAAGCAATGCTAGGAATCTCTCTGTATAGCTACCCTTAACTAGCAAAAAACGCTTTGTCTTTCTTATTATGCTTATGTCATCTCTTCAAGAAAATTAGAGAAAAGGGCAGAACAGGTTCTGCCTGGAAGTGAAGGGGGGAGGGGGAGATAGGGTAGGGGCAGGAGGTCAGGGGAGAAATGACCCAAACAATGTATGCACATGTGAATAAATGAATTAAAAAAAAAAGGCGGCAGGGGGAGGCTGGAGGCCTGGCTCAAAGAGTAGAGCACCTGCCTAGCAAGTGCAAGACCCCAACATAAACACCAGTACCACAAAATAAATAAGTAAAAGCTGGGAACCAAATAAAATCTAGAGCACAGTTTTACACATAGAAAGTGATTAGGAAATATGTAAATAGTCCAATGAGTGTGGCATTGAAAGATTGATAACTTGCCATGTGGAAATGGGCTTTGTAAGAGTTGAACTTGTCAGTTGTGATGAAGTAGTAGAAGGTCACACCTGATGTATATGAGCGTAGTTCCTAGCAGAAATTGAAGTAATGGGTATGTCTTAAGTACATTCAGTGTACTTAAGTACATTCCAGAATTTGAGTTTCTATTCAGAATGGTTTAGCTGCATGTGGTTTTCTGTATGTACCTATTATTTTTTGGGAGGGGGTGGAACTGGTGTTTGAACTCAGGTTCTCTACCTCTTGAGCCACCCTTCCAGTCCTTTTTTTTTTTTTTTGCCTTATTTCAGAAGGGGTCCATGTTTTTGCCTGGGATCACCATCCTCCTACCTATGCTTCCTGGGTAGTTGGGATTACAGGCATGTATAACCACATTAGCTGTTTGTTGAGATGGTGTCTGGTTAACACACTCCCTGATGGCCTCAAACAGTGATCCTCCTCATCTCTACCTCCTGAGAGGCTGGGATTATAAGTGTACACCGACACACCCCACTCACCCATTATTTCTTGTGGACCATATTTATATAAGTAAACACAGATTTCCTATTATTCTTGTTTCTGAATATATCAGTTGCTTTAGAACCAATGCAAAAATTTTGAACAGAAAGTTTACAGAAGAATATGAATTGCCAATAACCACATGAAAAGGCACTCAGCATCTGGAGTCCTCAGGAGAATGTAAATTAAAACTGTAGTGAGTTACTACTTTACACCCATTGCTAGCATGACTAAGTCATATGTTGCTGGTGGGAGGCTATTTTCACTTTGAAAAATAGTTGGGCAGTTTTTGAATAATGTTAAATGTACCACTTATACTGTATGGTCCAGCATTTCTGTTTTCAGCTGTGTGCTCCAGAAAGATAAAAAGAGGTCTACAAAGAAACTTTTACATTAATGTTCATAGCAGTCTTATTACTAATAGCTAAGCCTGGAAATAACCCCAATATCTATTAAATACACTTTTGGATAAATAGATTGTGATATTTTCATTCAGTGACATATCTCAGCAACAGAAAAGAAACTCATTATTGATATGTGCAAATAACATGAATGAATCTTAAAAGCATAATGCTAAATGAAAGATGCTAGATTATTCAGATTACATGTGTGATTCTATTTATGTTAGTTAATTATAGGCAAAACTAATACCTGCTGTCAATATTAGTGATTTTTTAAGGTGGGGGACAAGGAACTGACTGCAGAAGGCACAAAGTAACTTGGTCTAGGGCAGGTGGTGGTAGTGGTGTGTGGGAGTGTCAGAAAGAGGAAGCTGAGACAGAGATATGTTTCATATATTGTTTGGGCTGACAGTTACTCTGTCAAAACTCAACTAACTGTTCTCTTAAAATTTCCATTTTCATTGTATGTGAATCATACCTCAATAAATTTGAGTTAGGTAAAAATGTTTATTGTGAGAGATGAGAACAGTCATTGACTCTATGTTGTGAACTTTCAGAGTACTGTTCCCTACAGATATGCCAACTGACATTATAGTTCTGGAAAATGTTTTACACAGTCAAGTATTGGGGTCATTGTAGAGAACGGGAAAGCTTCCTGGGAGAAGGAGGTGTTGTAGAGGATATACCTGAAGCTGGGAATTTTTTTGGTCAGCTGTGAAGAGTTTGGGTAATAGGCAAGCAGAAAGAGTATTCTAGGCAGAGAGAATATTGGTGTGAAGAGTTGAAAATGAGATAGTATCACTAAAAGAATGGAAAGAATGTTGAAGGAGATGAGAAAGATTCATGGTAGTTGGAGCAGGGCTGTGTGTGTGTGTGTGTGTGTGTGTGTGTGTGTGTGTGTGTGTGTGTGTGTGTGTGTGTGTGTGTGTGTGTGTGTGTAGGGAGTAGTAGAGATTATACTGAAGGTATCAGAGCCTGAAGTCATTTAGAATCTTGAAGGCTTTAGAAGAAGTTTTATTTTATCCTAAAAGTAGAAATAAGTAGATTAAAAATGTTAATTTTGCAGTTTAGGAAGATCACTCTGGCTCCAAATGTAAAAAAAAAAAAATGATAGGGATATGACTACAGGCATGGGTGCTAGTTACAAGGTTTTTCAGAAACCATCAATATATCAGTCTGTATAAGGAAAGAGGCACTGAGCATGTTCAATGATGGTGAATTGCAGATATACTTAGGGTATAAATGCAAGGTGATTGGATATGGAAGATCAGGAGAAGGAGGGGTGGATTTTGTTTAGTTTTGGACTTGGTGAGTTTCACATGCCTATGGGACATCTGGATTTGTATATGTCTGAAGGTCATGAGAAGGTTCCAAGAAGGTTCTTGGAAGGAAACAAATATTGGTAATCATCAGTCCATGTGTGGTATGAATATAGCTAATGTTATTCAAGTGAGCATATGGGATGAAAAAGTCAAGAGGTCTAGCCTAAGAACTTTAAAAATAACCAATATTGAAGGAGTGGCTTTGGAAAAAGCAAAAAGAGTTTGAGAAAAGAGGAAAATGAGAAGATTACACAACACAGGGACTCATGGATGATTGCTTTATGGAAGACAGTCAGAGGTGTTATATGTTCGGTGAGTGATTTTGGAGAGAGCAGTTGCAACAGAGTGATGAGGGTAGAGATGCAGAGGACTGATAAAGGGCTGAGATGCTTGGTGAGCTTAAAGGGTATATGTGTATGGGAGATGATACATCTGAGGGTTATAGGAGAAGGGTTTGTCATTTGGTTTGGGGTATCTGTTTTGTTTTAAGTTGGACAATACTGTTGAGAAACAATAATTAGGAAAGGGTTCCAAATCTTTGGCTGGGTTCCAAAGATTTAACAAGTGGGATCTGGGAAACAGGATGAGAGATGCCCCATAAATTGTAGCAGATGGGAGGGAGACGATTAGAGGTAAATTTGTAGTTTTCATCTTGGTAGAATTAGAAAATGTAAGAAAATCGAGAAATACTAACAAGTTTTGGCACACTTATTTTAGCATGGGTTCATTTTACTTCTATTAATTTCCTTTTCATAGTATTCCCTACTCCCCTTGTGCACGCTAGGTAAGTACTGTACCCCTAGCCTCATAGTATTCTTTCTTAGTCTGAAAATACTTTGGAAGAAATATTTTTAAATGTCCCTTACCATTCTTTGTGTACACACACCAAAATAATCATGGGAAAAGTTTTTTTAGGATTTTATTAAAGTCAGCTTTTTAACTATCGTCTCATTTTTCTGTCTAAATGCTGAATTTACCACTAGAGATGATTTAGCAACCTCTGAATGGTTAATCAGAAATTAGATTCTTTATAGATGACATGGAAAATACATTTTTTGTTTTGTTTTTTATCTTTATAATGTGCTTTGTATTTGCAATATTACTAGTAGGTTGAATGGGTTTTTTTCTTCCTTTTTTTCACTTACCTTGTAAATAGTTTTAGTTTAATGTTAGCCAGTTATCTCTACTATATTTGGGCAGATTCCAGACAGTATTAAACTACAGCAATAATATATAAGTAAATGGAACGTTTTCAATTACTTTTGTAAAAGTGAAATTAGATTTAGTTTATAATGCCTCTGACTTGGAAGATTAATGAAAGGGAGTGTCAAACCCACCACCTTTATTTCTAGATTGTTTGGATCAAAAAGATATGCACTTATGCACTTTTTTTCTTAATCAGCCTGTATACAAAATTTTAAGAAATTAAAATAGTACTTGAGTTAAATAGGTAAAAAGTCAAGCTACTTGACAAAATACTTCATTTGGAATGAGAGCATTTATATTTTCAGCTACACATTCATAACCAAACTGTATAATCAGGATAGAGAATTGTACAACATGTAAAAGACCATTTTAAACTTATTAAGTAGTTAAATTAATTTTTGTGGTACTGGAGATTGTACTCAGATCTTGCACTAGTTAGGCAAGTGTTCTATCATTTGAACCACACTCCTAGTCCTTAGATCTTATTTTTTACCAAATTCATTATTTGCAGTGCTGGGAATTGAACCCAGTGCCACATGCATGCTATGCAAGTGGTCTACCACTGAATTACATCTTCAGCTCAAGACTTATTTTTTTAATTTACAAAAAGTGTGTATTTTTGTGTTGAAATTAAAGTCATTTTAAATTCATAGATGCCAAAGTTAACATTTTCTAGAAATTACTAAAGTTACATTTTTTAATTCAATGAAGCATAAGGTTTTAGAGTTTGATATACACACTTTAAATTGAAAATAATTTAATCAACTTAAGTAGAAATAATCATCACAATGCTAATTCATTTGAATGCAATAGTTGCATTCTATGGATATGCAATATATTCTATGGATAGATAGTTGTATCTATCCATAAGTGAAGTAAAGGATGTACATTTAGCTGTTTGACTTCAAAAGCTATATTTTCATAGCTTTTTGTGGTTTAATTGATGAATAGTAAACTATACATACTCAAAGTGTATACATAAATAAAAAATTACACTGTAATTTATATATTCATTTACTGTTTCCTTGTTTTGGTGGTTAACAAATAAAAGCTGTTGTGACCATTCATGTGCAAGTCTTTGCATGGACATATGTTTTCATTTGTCTTAGATGAATACCTTGTTGTAGAATGCTGGAAGCAGATGGTAAGTGTGTGTTTACCCTTTTTAGGAAACACCAAACTGTTATCCAAAGTACTTATATCATTTTACATTCCCACCATCAGTGTGTGAGTTCCGTTTCTCATCCTTTGGAACACTCAGTAGAAGCCAGTTGTGGTGGTACACAGATAATTCTAGCACTCGATAGTCTGAAGCAGGAGGATCACAAGTTCAATGCCAGCCTGGGCTACATAGTGAGACCCACAAAAGCATGTTATGGTCTGTTGTAAAGCTATTTTTAAAATTGTTACCCTTCACTTTCTGTATTGTTACATAGATAAGGATTATTTGGGAAAAGTACTAATTGTGGCAAATAGTTAATAATTTTTAAGTGATTTTACAAGAGTATTTGTAGTTTTTGTTATGGTAAAAGGTGATTTGCTAAAAATATTAGAGAAGTTAATTTTGTAATGTCATTACTAGTTTTAATGTGTATTTTTTTTCCCTTTGATAGAGTTTTCCAGAAAAGGACCTTCTTCATTGTCCATCTAAAGATGCAATTGAAGCTCATTTTATGTCTTGTATGAAAGAAGCTGATGCTTTAAAGCATAAAAGTCAAGTAATCAATGAAATGCAGAAAAAAGATCACAAGCAGCTTTGGATGGGACTACAAAATGGTAAGTATAATAGTATCTAATGTCAGAATACTATTTTAATAAAATGTGATAAGACCATCACCCTATGAGTGACTTATACATGTTAAAATTGGTGGTACAAGTTAATTCTACCCTCTAAATTAGCATAGTAGCTACTTCTTGTTATCCTTTTCATTATACCCTTCCAACGTCCTCTGGTTCATAGATTCTCTAGTGTTAGAGTGATCACTTAGCTCATGACTTAAGGCAGCATAAACTTTGTGTTTAGCTTTGTGTTTAACTGTATTGCTAAAATTTCACTTACTATGTTATATTAACTATGAATAACTACATAGAATACAAATTTTATTGCCAGCTCATTAGTCCAGTAACCGTTGTGTAACAACAAGTGTGTTCATGATTATCCTCACATCAAATCACGCATTGTGTTTGTCACCATTGGTCACTCATAGCATGTAACTGTATTGCTTTCTGGTCTCCAGAAATAAGCCTATTTAGCATTTTATAAAAATGGATAAATGAAAAATGGTATTGATTGTACAAGAAACATGAAAATGCACAAAGAAACATTGGTAATGTTGAAAATGAAATCCAAATAGATGGTAGTGGGGAAATAGCTGACTTTGGAAATGTTGACATAGCAGCCAGAAGGACTTAGTGAAGGTGAACTTTTTTACATAAATGAGGAATGTAGTTGTGACAAAAAGAATGAAGATATCCCAAGCAAGGGGTGCTGTTGATGTTCATATTAAAGAAATTCTCAGAGATAACTTTATGACACTGAAAACACAACAGTAAAATGTAGGAAGTTGATTAAAACATAGAAATAATTTTACTTCACTTAGGTATAAGAAAGAAGATTTACACTTGTTATGTTTTTACAAAGGTAAAATATTTTACTTCTCAGTTTTTCTGTTTTAAATTATACCACACTAAACAAACACTGGTTTTATTTGCCTTTTTTTTCCTATATATGCTTATAGTTAATAGTATTTTTAATGTTTTAACAAAAAATTTTAAAAATCATATAGAAACTTAATTTTCTCAATTTTAACTATTAAGATTACTTTCTAGTTTTAGCTTGCATGGTGACTTTTCCAGTCTACACTATCATGCAAAATTAGGACAGCCTATATTTAGTCTGTCTTTGGTATTTGTCTTTGGCCCAGAAGCCAGTTCAATTAGAAGTTCTTTCTTGGTTATGTCAGAGAGGTGTTTGTAGTTTTTTAGTATTAAACTTCATACAAAGTCTAGAGTATTATTGTGACCTCAGTAGTACTTAATTCACAAAATTAATGACTTGTATCATATATTGCATTTTCTCAATTCTTTGTTTTAGATTTCTTAGATTTGACCTGGGTGACATGGAGTTCCTCCTTAGGTTCATATTTATATATGTGGAATTTTTAAGTACCAGGCAGCCACCCCATTTTTTTTTACCTTATTTTATATGATGAATACAAAAATTCTTATCAAGTAATTAAAATAATTTATAATACTATAAGGAAGTATACATTTTTTCTTCTTGGCCATTTGAAGATTATGTGATTTTTTAGAAGACTTTTAAATAAGAAAACCTAAATGGAAGAAGCCAGGAATCATATAAAAAGAGAGGGATTTGGGAATACTTTGACTTCAGAATTGAACTAAATAATTTAAATGGGCAAAAAGTAGATGTTCTTAAAATCTATTTTGAGTGTGGCATGTCTGTGCTGAAAAGAGCTCATTAGTTTAGCAGATGCTTCTGAAAATGTTTGAAATGTTTAAACTGAGTCATTGGAGGATTGGGTATGGAGCATGATAGTTAAACAAAAGAGCAAAGGCCTGGTTTTTAGTCTCATCTTTACTGGTAGTCCTTAAGTCAATCACTCAGTCCCTTTGAGCTTCACTGTCTTCTGTTTAACAAGAACATGTATCTGCCTTACAGGTATCCTTAGAGGGTCGTGTGAAAGTGAAAGAAAGTAAAACTTTCTCAATGAAAAGAGTAATAATTATTATTGAGTTGGAATTGAACCCAGGACCTAGTACATGCTAAGCACCCATGGCCTCTCAATGAAAAGAATTACTTACTTGTTTTATTTATTGGTGGCACTGGAGTTTGAATTTATGGTTTCTGCTTGCTAGGCAGACATGCTACTGCTTAAGGCATACCTCCAGCCAGAAAAGAATTATTTGGAGGTTATTTGAGTCTCTAGGACAAGATTGACAAACTGTAGTCATGGGACAGACATCTGTTTTTATAAATACAGATTTACTAGAACTCAGCCACTGCATTTATGCTACAACAGTAGAGTTAAATAGTTGTGATGGAGGTTGTAGGACCAAAAACTTAGCATGTTATTATCTGGCCCTCCAAGAAAATGTTTGTCAAGCAACAGAAGGCTGACCAAACCTACAGTGAATAGTTGTCATTGACCTAAAATATTAATCAAAATATCATTTATTCAAATCTTGTTATAACTTAATGTCAAACATAGTCTGACAATTAACTTCATCACTATTAATATTTTTAAGCATAAAATTCCTTTTTTTCTCATACTGGCTTATCTTTCTTCAGATGTGACTATTGTTTATCTTTATTAAGTTAAATTTCATTTATTTACTTGTAAAACAGTTGAACTAAATCTAACTTAATGGTATTTGGTTATAATATACTTTGTTTCTATTTTTTATGTGGCTATAAGTTATCTTTGACAGCTATGCTTGGTTTTATTTGTGATACTTGTGATTAACTTAGCATTCTATTTTAAATATTTTGAAAATGAAGTTATTTTAGCTGGATAAGTACTGCTTATAGAAAATATATTGTGGTTATGCACTGGTAGCTTAACACCTGTAATCCTTGCTACATGGGAGGCTGAGATCAGGAGGATTGCAGTTTGAGGTCAGCCCAGGCAAATAGACCCCCATCTCCAAAATAACCAGAGTGAAATGGATTGGAAGCATAGCTCAAGCATTAGAGCACCTGCTTTGCAAGCTTGAAGACCTGAGTTCAAACTCCAGTCCCACTCCCACCCTCATCCCCCAAAAGGAGAAAAGACAAGAAAATGTGGAGTAAAATGCTAAAAGTTAATTGAAGTAAATTAGTGAAAGGTGGGTGCTTTGCATTCCTTCTGTCTGGAGTGCTCCTGATCTCCTTTTTGTCTGTTTAACTTCTACACTCATCTCTGTATGAAGCCTTCCTTCTGTTTGTTTGGTTAACATATACTTACTGAATACTTAATGTGCCTGACACAGTTGGAAGCTGTGGTCATCCAGCACTGATAGGACAGACATGGCCCATTTTCACAGAGATTACAGATAAGTGAAGGCAGAACCATTTACACTTTCATGCTGCCAGGGCTATTTATCCACCTACATGCACTTCTGCTCTTGTATTTCATCACACTCTGGCACAGTTAAATGGCTTATTTGTTCTGCTAGCATGATGCTCCTGTTTGGAGGATAGTTTATGTTGTTTATCCCTAGCACATAAAGTGAAAATTAGTAAAGAAAAGAAATATTGATTGAATGACTCCTTTATTTTATCTCTTTCCTGTGCTACCAGGAAATAATATGAACAACTTTTCATAAGTAGTATAATAAAACAGTGTATAAAATAGAGAAGTTGCCTTTTCTGAATTTATTTATGGAAATGGATTTTATGTTTAAGAATTTTTCCTTTAAAAGAAGCTCCTATCTGTGAAGTCAAAAATATTTCACCTTTTTATTCATATAATTTGTAAGTTCGACAAAATTGAGATGAAGCAGATGGTAAGTTTATTTTATTCAGTACTGCACCTGTAGAACATAATAACTAAACAGAAATTTAAACAAGTTTTGAATACTTTCAAATGCTAATTTTAATTTTGCAGTTCTCTGAAGGAGAAATAAGAAAAGCTTATGAAACCAAGAAAACTCATTTAAGACATACTGTGCCTTTCAGTGTGTTTTTATGGGTTTTCATTTTAGATATAAAAATAATCAACCTCTCTAACAGTTAATAACCACAAAAAAAGAAAATAGTATTTTTATTTTTAAGCAGTTGTCACTACATTTCTATTTAATGTCAGGTTGTTTTTCTTATATGCTGGAGATTTGAGGAAATTTACTGGGGTTTGAATTGGAGGCTTCACACTTGATAGGTAGGCACTCCACTGCTTGAGCCATACCTCCAGCCTTAGAGAATCTCTAGAAGACATTTTTTACATAAAGTATGAGTTAGTTTTTGGCCCTGCTTTTCTGAATATATATATATTTTTTATAAAAGAACAATGTTAAGTCCCATATACTTGGAAATAAAGGCAAGATTTGACTGCTAAATATGTTAAAAACATTTTGCTTATAGAGTGTAACTAGTCTTTTTAGCTAATTAATTTTTTAAAGAAATAATTTATAACATACTTTCTTTTTTTTTTTGAGAAAGAATCTCAGTAAGTATCCCAGGCTGGCCTTGAACTCTCTTGCCTCTGCCTCCCGAGTGCTGGGATTACAGGCATGTACCAGTTTTAACTTAAAACTGGTTGTCTGGTGTGGCAGAGTGCTCAAGTGTAGACCCTGTCTCAAAAGTGTGAGACCCATAGTTCAACCCCCAGTATCGCAAGAAAACAACAACAAAACAAAAGCTGAGAATCCAATGTTGGTCCGAGATGGAGTGCAAGACCTGATGTATTTATTCATTTTAGTATATCTTACCAGTTGTAAGATTGTGGCAGACTACTTTTCTCTCTTAAGTTGGAGTGTACTTACAAGGAAGGAGAGCACTGTTGGGTCTCTTCCAAGAGCAATAATCCACCCTCATCATATAATCATCTCTGTAAATCCTGACCACCTAATACCATCAGGTTGGTGGTCAAGATTTGAACATGATTTTGGAGAAGACACCAGCATTGAGTCCATAAAAGGTGTATTTTTAGCAATTGAAAAAGACTAGTATGCCCTGAATGTTGTGACCAGGAAGAAATGAGTGGCTTGAGATAAATTTGGAGAGATGGAAAATAATGTGATTATGCAAGTCCTGGTAGACCAAGGGAAAGACTGGA